AGTTCATGAGAAACCCGTAACACCTAAATCGTTTTGAAAAGAAAGAAAATAAGTTGACTGTTGGTCAACCGTCTAAAGAACCGAATGTAAAGTTGAATTGATTTTTATTAAAAGGATAAACATATGCACGATCTTAATTGTTGAATTATTATGTTTATTCTTGTGCTACAATGGAGTACCACTCAGCGTCAATGCTGAGCGGATAGCGTTGTTTTCCTTTTTGCTGTCCGTAGGTGATCAGACAGATGAACCTAGAGCCGATCCCAGAGGGCATTGAGGAGGAGATGTACGATGGCGTGGCTGTCTCTTTAATCTGTTGATTATGCTTTATTTAATTAACTTTAATGCTTATTACGTTTTCGGGCAAGATCCCAAGTTGTTTGACTTTAAAAAGGCTTCCGCATTATTTTAAATTACTCCAATGGATTTTTATATGTATTGATAGAACGTTTGTTTAAAATTGTTTTGAAAATGTCGCAAATTCGGATACCAATTCAGTGGCACACCGGTCCGCTGTCTCACGGGTTTGGGTCATGCGGGTTGGGGTGTTACACATCTTTTCTCAGAAATTTGTTAAGTGGAGTTGCGATCGAGGAAAAACCCTCAACGAATCGTCGATAGTATCCAGCTAATCCAAGAAAACTTCTCACTTCACGAACATTCCTTGGAACCTTCCATTCGGTGATGGCAGGTATTTTACTGGGGTCTACCTTAACACCTTCTTGAGAAATCACATGTCCCAAAAACGTAACTTCATCAAGCCAAAATTCACACTTTGACAGTTTGGCATATAGTTTATGTTCCCGTAGTACGCTGAGTACTATCTCCAAATGTTTCGCATGGTCTTCTTGATTCTTCGAATAGATAAGAATATCATCGATGAATACAACCACGAATTGATCAAGATAAGGTCGGAATACACTATTCATGAGATCCATGAATACTACTTGAGCCTTGGTCAAACCAAAGGGCATTACCGTAAACTCATAATGACCATAACGAGTACGGAACGCAGTCTTTGGGATGTCCTCTTTCTTTACAGGGATTTGATGGTATCCTGACCGTAAGCAATCTTAGAGAATACAGTAGATCCTCTAAGCTGATCAAATAAGTCATCGATACGAGGTAAAGGATATCGATTTTTTATTGTGACTTTGTTCAATTGACGGTAATCGATGCAGAGTCTCATCGAGCCATCTTTCGTTTTGACAAACAGGACGGGTGCTTCCCAAGGGGAAACACTCGGACGTATGAATCCTTTATCGAGTAGTTCTTGTAGTTGAGCCTTCAACTCTTTCATTTCAGCAGGAGCCATGTGATAGGGAGTTGCAGATATCGGTCCTGTTCCAGGAACAAGATCGATGGAAAATTCTACTTCTCTGGAAGATGGTATACCAGGAAGTTCGTCAGGAAATACGTCAGAAAATTTACATACTGTCGATATGTCTTTTAATTCAGAAGTTTCCTTTCGTGTGTCACGTACATTACATAGATAAGCCTCACATTTCTTTCGAATGAGACGTCTCGCGTGAACTCAGTTGGTTTAGGAGTTAACTTTTCTTTCACCTCAATAGAATTTCCCTCTTTAGTTTTTAGTTGAATCATTCGTCGTCGGCAATCAATAACTGCTTGGTGCTCGGTGAGCCAATCCATTCCAAGGATGATATCGAATTCCTTGTACGGTAATTCAACAAGTATGGCAAGGAATTCTTTTCCTTCGACAACCAATGGACAATCTTGATATACGTGAAGTAACCTCATACTATGCCCTAATGGGTTAGACACTAGTATAGGTTGTTCTAAGTTTTCTTTCATTACGTCAGCTTTGTCAGGCATAGACATGAAGATATAAGATAACGTTGATCCAGGGTCTATCAACACATGCATGACAGAATCAAATAAGGAAAACATACCCTGAATGACGTCAGGGTTTTCCTCAGCTCGTGCCTTCATTGCATAAGTACGAGCAGGAGCTCGTCCTTGTAGCTGACTCTAGTTCTTGTCCAGATTAGATCCCGCCGTTGATCGTTGACTTGGCGCAGGTCGTGCTGATGCTGATTGGCTGACAACCGGGGCTGTTGGAAATGGTTTGCCAGGATTAGTGGGGCAATCCTTTCGAAAATGTCCAGGTTTGCCACAACATAGACATAATCCTTGGGCAAGCCAACACTCGCCTGGATGATGTCTCCCACATGTATCGCACAATGCGTGTTTCCACCATCTTGATTTGTTTTCCGACGCCACAGAGTGCGTCTGCACCGATTTCCCCTTCTTTGAGAAGTGTGAATTGCTAGATTCCTGGAAGGGCCTTTTTCCTTTTGAGACAGAGCTGATGGGACGGTGAGTGCTTGAACTGACATTATTTGTCTTCAGATACTCAATGCAAGCACTCAAGTCGCTGTCTGCCCTGGCTATGAGATCGTAGGCCTCTGCGAAATCCACGGTGGTTAGGACGGACACACGCGACCTGAGGTCAGGTCGAAGTTTCTTCCTGAACTCCTCGATGCGATCGGTTGGGGTACTCACCAAGGTTGGTGCAAACTTAGCAAGACTGGTAAACTTCTGACGATACTCGGGGAGTGTCATGCCTCCCTGTTGCAATTTGACAAATTCTTTACGTCTTTCTTCGCTAAAACGTTTTGGAATATATTCTTGCTTGAATGCCCATTCGAAATGTGCCCATGTCCATGGCTTAGGGGTTTTGCACTCTCAACGGTCCTCTTCCACCACTCATAGGCTTCCTTGCGAAGCAGCTGAGACGCCAGTCGGGGATAGTTGCCAATGGGTACGTTAAGATCCTCCAACACTCGAGCAGTCTGCTCGATCCAGTCCCATGCAATTTAGGGTTCATCGATGCGATCCCCAAGGAATAATTCTGCACCGTTATCCCTTAATGTTTTGTAGGTTATCACTCGCGGTGGCGGTGGTGGAGGTGGTTGAGACATTGGTGCGTTGGCTATCTGTTGTAATACATTTGCCAGGAATGTGGGAATCACAAGGTCAGGTTGACCATCAGCGCTAGGGTTATTCCCAACATTTTGTTGATTGACGGGTTCATTTTGGACGGGAGGGGTAAAGCTAGATGCTTCAGTATGAACACTGACGTGTTCATTATTGTTGCCTTGTCCGTGGGCAGATTCTTGACTCATTCTACAATAACAGAAATTCCTTTATTAGGATTCTTTTATTCAGTAGTTGAGTTTAAGACAGGAATTGCAAAGGATTACAACAGTTGATACAATCAATGGATTTGAAACCAACAATAAGATAATTTTCTAAGCATTTGCGTTCGATTGGTTGGTTCGTGCCGAATCTACAGACGGGTCTTCCTTTCCCGACCCACATATGCTACTGGCAGAGTCTACGCTAAACATCTCTTCTGGGTCATCTCGTTCCTATGTAGCCTTGCAGCGCAGATAAATCCTTCGTTTCATTATTCTTGCGAATCGATGTGCACGTTGGTAACGTATCAACGAGTCATAGACATTTCGTTTGTTCTTTCGTCTTTTACCAAGTACGAAAGTGCGACTTGAATCAACACTTGATATCATTTCCGAATTAACAGTTGACATCTATAAAATTTGATACAGTCGATTTCAATACTCATTTTTTTTTATTACCTTCCTGGAGCA